GCCAACCTCTGGGCCTCTCGATAGACACGTTCCTGGCCATGCTTGCTCCGCCTTGTTCTATTGGCGTATTGTCAGCCTTTCAACGCGTCGTTTAAGCTTCTCTCGCCTTCCTCTCCTCGTCTATCCTCCTCTCATTCCACGTGTATCGCAATTATTTCGCCATGATATCGCTTCCGTCTCGATACCTCGTGACCAAGCCAACGGCAATTTCTCTCCTTTTCCTTTTGCGAAATTTTCCTCCGCTTTTTATCGTCCGCCTTTCGCTCCACGGGGTCGCGAGTCGCGGGATTCAGGGAACCGGATCGATCATCGAGATCGACTTTTCTTCCCAGCGAACGAAATCGAATCGATCTATCTTCTTTTAAAACGTTTTTTAAAACGCGTCTTTTAAAACGAGACGAAAAAGTTTCTTTACCTCCGGAAAGAGAGAGAGAGAGAGAGAGAGAGAGAAAGAGAGAGAAAATAAAGACACGAACCACGTCTCATGCAAATCACGACGCTCGGTCGGGGAGCGTAAAAACATCCTACTTAGAACGATTTCGAAGCGCAGCCCGTGACCGTGATTTTCACGAATCACGATACACCTGCCCTTATTCGGGTGGCGGATTTCAATGGCCTCGGCTTAACCCTCGACGATACCATTGAACGGCGCAAATGAGACGTGACTCGAAAAGATATCAGGGGTCCTGCCACGTCGAACACGTGCACCCGGTGCACGACCACGCTTAATTCTTATTCCGATGCGTTCCGGCTATTCGCCAACAAACAAATTACACCCCCTTTCGACTCCACGCCAATTTCTCGTTCTTCGTCGCGGTCATCTTACGACGCGCAAATTTCGTTAATTAAATCGCGATCTCCCTTATTATATTTTCATCCTTGCTTACGAATCGAAAAAAAAACGAAACGAAAAATTATCGTCAATATCGAGGAATAATATCGAGGAAGGTGAAATTACTCGATTAATCGTAATCGATTCCTCGAATAGAATCTAAAATCCGGAAGTGGCGATTCTTTGGAAAGCTGCCGCCGCAGGCTACCGGTTTTCTGCGCGAACAAAAAGAGAGAGGAGAGGGTCGCGAGCAAGGTAAAAAAAGGAAGAGGAAGAAAGAGACGGGAGGAGTGGCGGGAGGAGGGGGCTACGATATCGGGAAGGAGGACGTCGTGTACCGCGTATCCGAGACATCGTACGTCAAAGGTTCGAGCCCGTGGGAACACGAGGGCAGAGATGCCTCCAATGCCGAGGCAAAGGCGAACCGAGTGTGTTCCCGCAGGTAGACGACCACGAGGAACGTCTACCATGGCTGATGAAGCAGCACCACGAGGGAACCCGCTCTCCAAAACCCGCTCTTTGTATACGATTACGAATCAAACTTTCGACGATTAAAAAAAAAAAAAAGAATTTCGCAAGAAAAATTCCATATTATATTCATACATTTATTATAATTGCACGAACAGATGTAAAAATATCGATTGTAAAAGTTTGAAATTTTTGGAAAATCAGATCCATCGTTCGTAGGACGAAAACGTACAAAATGGAACAACTTGTTAACAACGAAGCTAAAGACAAAGGAGAAAAGGAAACGAGCAAATTTTTAATTCGAACTCGGAGAGAAGTTGCAAGATAAAACGGAACGAAGGCGAACGTTTAATAGAAGAAAGCGAACAAGCAACAGGAACAAAAGGAAGAGAAGAGGATAGGTATCTCTCTTAGGTGACACCGCCGAAATATTTCCGTCGGCATTCCTAGACGTTTTTTAGGCCTTTGTCAAGCACGGCGTCACTATGTCATCGAGATCGATACGATTCGATCGTAGCCTCCACGTTCGGATCTCTCTCCAACCTTCTTCGTCCGATCCACGATCCACGATCCACGATGCCGCTCCATCGCGATCTTACGCGTTCCGAAAACCAACCGAGATTCTTATCCATCGTGCGTTTATGATTTATATTCCGCTTCAACCCACCACACCGTCCAATACGAATTTATCATTTTAATTCCCTCGTGAAAATCGTTTCAACGATCGCGTACGCGATCGAATCGAATCGGGATCTACGTCGCGCAATAATTGTTTCGGGTCAGGTTTCAGATCGTTCGTAAATGGTGACAAATAAGGGTGCGTTGGTGAAGTAATATTAATATTCATATTCACGGTCGAATCATTTGTTCCCCTGGCGCAATATCAATAACCTGACCCTACTACTAGTATCCCCTTCGTAGGGATGCCACTTGCGAGAAGGGGACGATACTCGGTATTTAATTACCGTGAATCGAGGGGTGATCCGCGTACGAGTATACGGCGGTTTCCTTCTAAATTGTTTAACGCTCTTCCCACCGATCCGACCAACGTCCGATCTCTCTCTTCTTTCACGACGAAAAATTCGTTGAACAGATATTTGTAAATCGCGTACCGTTTATGGTGGGAAAATTCGATATATTTGTGATCGCAAACGTGAAAAATAGCCAGGAAATTTGTCATCGCGTATCGCTTCTCCACCAACCGTTCGGGCTCACGTGGCCCTCACGTGGTTTCCTGCTTCGAGTTTTTCCACGTCTAGCAAGCATATGCACGATTGCGTAACAAAACACACACAAATCATACTGCGCGCGACAGAAGAAACGGAACAGACTGATTTATGTTTAAGGAGCGATGGCCTATCCGCTGTTCGCCTGACGAAATGCATCGTTGGTCGGCCCGACGAATCGCTATCGCCCTTCTCCCCGTGGAATGCGTCTTTTCAGACGCATCGAAAACGACCGACCAACCTCCTGTGGAACAGCATTGCCTGCTTCGACTCGTTCGAAAAGAAACCACGTATGAGAAATCGCGAAAGAAAAAAAGTATTGCGGTAACACGTGTTCAAATCGGCCAGATTTCGTGAGAGTCGTCGCTTTTGACGATCCATCCAAAAATTTTACAAAATATCCCTTCATTTTATCGCTTATATATCCTTTGACGTGATCTCAAAATCTTTCTTCCTTCCGCTTCTTGTCAATTTGTATATCTTATGTAAAGAAAAGATGAATCAAGTTTCAAAAAAAAAAGAAAAAAAAAATAGATCGAACTTAATGTAAGTTTGCAATCTTTCCGATTGTCGTCCACGATCGAACGAAAAAAGAAAAAGAGGAAGAGAAAATCGGAGAAGGCAACGCGACTTTGGTAATTAAAACAAGATGGAATACCTCGGTCGACGCGATAAATCTCATCATTTCCCATTCTCCCATTTCCCTCTCTCTTTCCCTCCAACCCTCCCCCCGCATATATATCTTCAGCTTTCCCCTTATCCGTAGATCGGAACTAGCCCCTTCGACGACATCCAACGATTTATTTTATTATTTGGTAGATTTAGTGGCGGCTACCGTTTATTGGAATCCACGTCGATCGGAGATTATGAGGCGAACGACGCGTCCAGATGCGCGCTTGCTTCCTCGCTCGCGTTACGAAACGGCTAATTATCGAGGACGGGATGAATTATCGAGCTTGAACGCGAAAAAAAAAAAAGAAAAAAGAAAAAAGAGCGTACCGCGAATCTCTTTCCTTTTCGCCACAGAATAAGTGGATTTTGTTGTTCCGCGTTATCGGCGCATACCAAACGGGTTGGACGCGTATATCGCGGTTATTCTCTCGTACGGAATCGACGTATCGAGATCGAGGCCGAGAAGAGAACCGAACTCGGATGGAGTGCGTTTCGATTCGCTTCGATTCGATGCGAAAGTATTCGCGTAGATGAACGGGTGAACGAACGGGTTCACAGTTTTAGAAATTCTTTCTAGCAAATTATATTTCCCTTTAAAAATAATCGCATCAACGTAAGACCATCTCTCTCCTCTCCTTACGCGGCGTCGTAAATCTAAAACTTCTAATCTTCGAAACTTGGCATGGTCGTCATTATTTCTAAAAATATCTCGTGCAATCTCGTTAAAATTTCTCGCCACCTGCTTCTCTCGCACGAGTCCCATTTCCATTCCGTAGCACGACCAATCAGGCTACACGTGTTTTACACGTGATAACAACGATCACCCGAATCCGAGAAACATCGTCTCCCTTAGGTGACCAAGTTAATTGCTCGTTTTCTCATCTCGTTAACTATGGCTTGGACGGGAGAACACGTCGGTGACGTCGGGGAGCACGTGCAAACGAATCTAGCCATATGTTTTGCCCGAGCGTATTTTATCGTATTCGAGCGTAACTCGTATTCAAGTGATATTAATTTTAAAATTTGTCGAGGGATAATATGATCGGTTCGTGTGAAAATTCTCTTTTCTTCGATACGAAATACCAAACACGCGAAAAAGAATGTGGAATACGAATTCGAAATTCGAATAAGTATATTTGTAAATATCTATCATAGTATTTTGTAGATATGGAATAAGGTAAATGTTTCGTTGTATCTCTGATGCAATCGAGACTATCGCTAGGTACAATTGCGGTTATAGATCGCTTATCGGATCGCGCGCTACGTAAACGCGATCAAAACGTTCAAGAAACGAACGAAAGCGAGAGTTCCACGCGGAATTCCACAAGATTAAATTCCCCATTACTTCCACTTATTACGTGCTCGATTAACTTTCCGGCGTGAGTGGAGCCACTAAATTCAACGGCGTGTAATTAACCAGCAGCGGTGTAACGAACCGCAAAAGCATAAAATTCTATTTTCTTCGCCAGATGTATAACTTCGCTTTTGTTCCACTCTTATCTCTAATCTCCAGTGTTAATTACATAATCGCGGATACGCGGCCCACGCTAACAGGATATCACGCGTTTTCCTAGAGACAGGAAACGGTCGTAGGAAATAGAATTGAAAAAGAGATTCGCAGGAATTTCTTTCGATCGCTTTTCTTTTTCGCGTCGTCAAAGAGAATCGTGCGTACGTGAATAAGTAAGTATCGATAAGATTTATCGAACAATATATACTCGAAACGATAATATTTTCATGAAATATTCATCAAGAACGAGTTGATCGGGTGAGATGTCAAGAAGCCAGAAAATGCAACGACGTAATATTGATGCATCATTTATTTAACACCTATGATAACATGAGATGCGCTTAAGGTAGAGTAATTCACTAGGCGAAATGACGGTTGTGCGTGCGTGCTTGTTGCGCGTGTGTATACATGTCCTCGCGATATCATTGTCGATTCTATGGGAAAGGATGTAAAGAATAATTGTGACAATTCGGATAATAACTATTTTTTTTTTAATTTGCCGACTTGGATTGAAGATTTCAGAATTTCTGCAGCATCGGTGTTATGATACAATAATAATAGTAATATATATATATATATATTTATTATATATATATGGCAAGATCATTGGTCAATAAATATTTCACTTAAATCTGTAGTCAAATTCTCCAAATAATCGATCCATCTTTCTTTATCCTCTTTCGCGCATCTTTCCTTCCTCGATAAATAAACGAACGATCGCAACGAAACTCATCGATTCGTCGTTTCAACGATGATTCGAGAACAAAAAGCATAAAATTCTAAAAGATACGATACGTTTGAACGGATTGACAACGTTCCAAGAGATATCGATTCGTTTATTAGATTCCTTTATTCGATCGTTCAACTATTTCGTAATTATTTGGAAAATTTCGACTCTTTCGCCTTTCGATGGCCTACAATTCCCTACACTCTATACGAACTAGAGAATCTGTCATTTTCACCGGCCGGTCGGACATATATGTAGTAAGTAATTTCGTCGTCAGTCACTATGAAAGGTAATAGTGCGCGCAAAGTAGTTCCTCTAATACTATCCGAGTTGTACGCTAATAGTAGATCCTTAAAGTAAATTAGGTAACACTATGTACACTTGCTCGGCGTGAACGATGTTCGCATACGTTCGTCCGACCGTAACGTAACAAAAATTTCTTCCTCTCCTCTCCCTCTCGTCCATCAGCTCTCCGTTCGCCGGATGGATCGCCGTTCCTTAGCACGCTAGTATCACGTTTCAGAGCAGCCTCGTTTCTCCTCGATCGCGTCCCAACAGCGTCCTATTCGCCATTTTGTCGCTACGTTCGTTCGAGCGAGGATGACAATTCCTTCTTCTTCCGATTCCTGTTCGCCGTTTCGAAGAGCTCGTGCCTCTTTCTTTCGCGGATCCACCCACCGGATGTTGCGAATTAATTCGGCCCACGAGACTCCGTCACTCGCTTCTAGAACCAATAAAGGTCTTTGGAATCTTGAACCTGAGACTCGAGACCTGCAACACGGAGGACAAAATACCAATCTTTAATATACAATTTATCCTTGTATTATTCATGTGTGTGTGTGTGTGTGTGTGTGTGTATCGTATATCATTAATTTCCATCAATTTTTTACATAAATTTAACGATGATGGTAACGAGATATTTCATTCGACGAATGAGTTTATCGAATCAATTTTACAAATTTTATTTTAGAAATACTCGATGCGCGCAAAGTTCGTAGATCGTAACGATCTCGATCGGACACCAATGACGATACAAGTTTGGCGCACAGGACGGGTAATTGGTTATTCGAAAAGATAGGAACGAATTTTTCGTTCGGCTTCGATCGTCCATCGAAATTTATAACGCGCGGCCAACCACGTAATAAAAGAAGAGTCAACGTTTTGACGGATGCGAGGGTGCAGAACTGGTGATGGCACCCGCTGAGCGACACGGACGGACAAACCGGCGGGAACGGATGGAGAACCAACGGAATATGTCACGAGATCGACCAGTTAAGATCTCACGTTCTTTACAACGGTTGCACGGATGCGTCCCAACCTATCTTCCATCTCGATATCTCGAAACAGTGACCCTACTACGGATCATTCCGGTTCTCGACTTCGAGTACCTCGTTCGAGATCGTTCGTAATTAACAACAACTTCGATTCTCGTTTTAAAACGAATAACAATAAAATCCCCCTAATAAATATCGTTCCACGATATTTCCTTTTAATTTCACCCACGCGTAACTCGATCGACTACGACAGAACTACGACTACTCTCTGATCGTCGTCCATCCTATATCTACATCTGAACGTATCTCCTTCGTGAACCGTTCAATTTCGAACGAGCGAGACGAAGACGAACGTTTTCGAATACTTAAATTCACGGCACGTGGTGTACGGCACGGCCGATTAACTTTGTATCTGTCGGCCTATACACGTGTCAGCACGTGGATCTACCTGCTGCTTCAAAGTCAGCTACGTGTGCGTCCGCCGCGTTGCCATATTGGCGCACGCACACATACAAAAAACGAAAAAAGAAGCACAAGCGAAAACATACAAAAGATTCGATCTCCGATGGCGAGCAAGGGAACGCGAACCGCGCTAATCTATAGAAAGCCGGTCGATCGGAAAACGAAAACGCGTCGTGAGAAATCCGATGTTTCGACGATCGTGATAAATATTTCGATCGATAATCTCGACTTGGATAAATTCGAAATTCGTGGATATGGTATAGAGATAAAATTCTTAAAGTTAAATCATTGTTTCGATACACGACGAAACTTTATCTTCGTTTCGACGAGAAAAATAAAAATTCGATCGTAGTCGCGAATCGCGATAGTTCCAAATATTCTTCTACATTATGTATTCGGTTGAAATGGGGGAAAAAAGAAAATGGGGGAGGTCATAATCATAATGATACGGCATATAAACGTGTAGGAGAGGGAAAAGCAGCCAACACCGGCCAATATTGTCCGCGTTATCCGACACATCATTTACCAGCAACACCCTCTTCCACTTCGTTCCGGCATATTGGCTTCGCATACTGAACCGTGAAAATGTTATAGGCACGTAAGTAGGCACTTACGCGGCTCGCATAAATCGTCTTGACACTCGTGCTATACGTTATTCGCCCGCCCTCCGTATCGAATTAGAATTCGCTCTCTCACGGAGATTACGATCGAAGAACAGGTAGATATAATGTTTGGATATTAGTGAAATAAAACTGAACAATTACGAACAACTCGAACGAAAGATTATTTCTTTAATTACGCGTACGTATAATTTTTCAGCGAGATGATGGAAGATAATAATACGTCTCATATAATCATCTACATCTCTAGTGAAAGCTATTCTTAATAAAAAATGCGCGTCAAAAATTTAACTTATATTTATTAGAAAATTTTAAATTTATCAGAAAAAGAAAAATTTCTTCTACTTCCAAGTATGTGTGTTTGTATATTGTATTAAAAAAATATCTGTCGTTATAGTTTTTTAAAAATAATCTTCTCGAAAACGAGCCGCCTTTGATCGACGTAGTTGTGTTAAATCTTTATTGTACGAAGAATATCTACACGCCCAAGTGTTTCCATTCGAAACCTCAGACGTTCGCAACTCGATGAATACAAAGTTACGGACGAACGCACCTGTTATGAATGTTTCGGCATTCAATATCGCGATATCAAAGAGCGCAGCAAGATGGTACAAGGAGGAATTCCCTTCGGTCCTTTCAACGGAGAAACAAAGCGTAAAGTCGGTGGAAATTCGGCGTTTAACTCGAGAATTTTGCGAAATCTATCCTTTGCGTTTCGTTGAAAATTCGAAATGCTTCGAAATTATTAAAAGTCGCAGAACAGAAAATATTTAAGAAAAATAAATAATTCGATTGCGAATCCAACTTATTTAAAAATTAATAATTTCTCGCTCGCTAATTTTCCCCTTTTGTTCATCCCTGGATCTGAATTTCAACGTTCGTCAAAAGACGAGAGTCGGGCATTTGGATTAAATTAAATCGAACACCCCCGTTTTAAAAAGCAAACTCCCTACCCTCGCGTCGTAACGGGACCCTCGCCAACGTCGGGGGTTACGTATCGAAAGAGATGACCCTTATCAATGGGGGTCAAACCCCTCGCAGCCTGAAATCCAATATACTCGTGGTAAAGGAGAGAGTCCCCACTTTGATTCACCCCACCTCGAAACTCGTATATCGCACCGATGAGCGAGTATTAATTGGAAATTAAGCTTCTAAATCTTTGTGCCTTTAACGTTTTCCTAATCCTTGCCAAGAATCCTTCGACAAAAACGACGAATTACGTCCCACGGAATTCGAATTTTATACAACTTTCCTCCTTGGAGTTAAACTTGAGAAAATTTCTCTATTGGCACGAGCCAAAATACGCAATATTGATATTTCGCGTACTAACGCGAATAATTATTGATTGATTGATTAATTAATCGATAAATAACAAATCAATTTCAATTTAATCGATCGAGCTCCTATTCGACTTTACTTTAATTATTATCCTTTCCGATAAATTTCGATTCTTCCACGTTGCGAATCAAGCTTAAATCAACGCTTGGCTATAACGCGGAATGAAATTATGAAAATTTGGGCCGACGTTTAACGATTGTCAAATCCGTGCGATCCATATGCCACGGAAACATTGGAGCCCGTTCGAGGTCCTCGAAGGAGAGGATTAAAGGACGAAGAGGACGCGCGTTCGCCGCGAAGCCAGCTCCGGTTCACCGTAGTGTCTCTCCATCCGCGAACGAACCGACTTCGAGAGATCGATATAAACCGGCAGCTTTCGACCACTCCCTCCATCCAGCTGGCTGACCAATCGAGGCTCGCTAGCCATCCCCGGCTACCCTTTTGCTCTCACCCGTGGAAACGGTGCACGAGCACGACGGTGGATTACGTGACGTCACCGGCCGACGCCATTTTCGAGGCGCGTGCCAGAAAGACCCGGCTGTACCAACACGCGGATCCGCAATATTCTCTCTCTCTCTCTCTCTCTCTCTCTCTCTCTCTCTCTCTCTCTCTCTCTCTCTTTCTCTCTCTCTTTCTCCCCAGAGAATGTCCCACACGGACTAGAATTTATGGCGAAGATTCCCTGAATTAATTCTCCTGGAAATATTGAGAGCGCCAAACCGGCCCCTTTCTTTGTTTCGCGACACTCGACCGCGCGAAACCGCTTCACCGACGCTACGCGACGAATGCCTCCCAAACAGTATCGAAATTGGCCGGCCATTTAACGCGTTCGATGGCTCGCAACGTATGTCGCTCGATTCCTCTTTTTTTCTTCCCTTCTTTTTCCTCGCCGATGAATCGGTACAGTTGATGCGTTTCTCGATTGAAAGTCGATCGGTAATCGAAGCGTGGAGTTGTGCGGTTCGCACAAGATTGATCGGGAGAAAACGGAACGACGTGGTTTCAGTAACATACCAGTGATTGTTTCTTTCAAATTCTTCGATCATCGTTACGTATACCAGTTGTATATAAATATCGTTGAAGAGAGATTTGGAAAATTGATTATTTAAAAGAATCTCTTTGAAGTTTTGCAGCGATAACGCAACGACGATGTGAATCGTGATAATTATACGTATAGAATTAAATAAATAATTGATTTAAACAACATTTTTGTCAAAAACTTATTAATTAATAATAAGCGTATAACTTGAGAAGAAATTGTTCTTCGCTGGAAGTTTTTTGCTATAACAAGTAGTACGAGTCAATAATTTGTCGAGTCATAATTGAAAAATATAGAGCGGAGAGTAGCAGAGCGGAGTAGAAAGTAATTATTATTATTGCTCGTAGATAAAGCGAAAAATAAATATCAATTATATACAAATTTGTACCGTAATTAGTTTGTCGTATTATCAAAGTCAATCGTTACTCTCGTCTCTGCCTTCTATTTATATTAAACAGCAAACATTAATTTTTAATAACAAAATCAAAAGCTATGAGTATACATTTCGTTAAAATAATAATTCTAATTATTCATTACGGACAACAAAATGTATTGTTGAGATTAAATAGAAAGTCTTTCAAAATCGATAAAACAATTCGACGAAAGAATGGAACAAGTAGATATTATAATCGGAAAAAGTAAATTAAAGGAGCAAACGAAATGTTTGCGAGGGAAGGGATAGCGCATGGAATTCAATTTGGCATTCACCGGCGAGTGTGCGTTTTGATTTAAGTCGATCCAAAGTCGACGATGCGACGTCGTGGCGGCTGCGTGTTCGGAAGCAATAGATTTCGCGATATCAGCCCGTCACTCTTCCGCTTCGGATAACGAATCTCGCTCATAAATCCGTCTCTGTTCACGGTCGCCGGGAAATTAATGCTTACCTCCGGAAAGATAAAAGTACCTACGTGAACTGCATTAAATTAACATTCTGGATCCAGTTCCATCGCCTCCCCCCCCCCTCCCCTCTCCCACCTCCCGATTTCACGATTTCCGCTCCAAGTTCTTTCGCAACTTTTCAACTTCCTGTTCTTTCCA